GACTGTTCAAGTTTTCATTGTTTGTATCTATTCTATCTCCTTCCACTGTGATGCCCATTTGCTCTAATTGCAAAGCCAGTGGAACCTCTACGCCGTAAGCAAAATGAAATATCACATCTGGAGGTCTATAGTGATGGAGATGACACTTGCTACATACAAGGTACGAATTGGCTTGGTCCAAAACAGATTTCTGTCCGTATTCTCCATTGCCGAGAGATATCAGAGTTAATGCTCTAGCGTTTCTTGCTATAATCTTCACCCACGAAGCGCCACTATTACATACTATATCAATCTCCAGACGTGATTTTTGATATTTGAAGGGTCTCATTACGCTGATGGGATCCTTTGCACATGATAGTCGAGCCACCATAGCATCGAGATGAGTCAGATTCGAGCTCTGGAGATGTTTCTTCTTTAAATTTCCTGTACATTGTACCTTTGTAAGAAAAGCTCAAGTTATTAATTTGTTAATTCAACTGGTATGTTAAAAATATACTCTACCAGAGAAGAATTAATTCTCAATTCTAAAACTTTTGCACCGGATTATAATAGATCCATTCAAGATACATGCTTTCCAATAAGAGATACAAGAGATCTCAAGAGATTCAAGAGATATAAAAGATCTGTTCTTTTTAGCTGAATATGTTCAACATAGTTTATCTATCTTTCTCTCCAGTGAAAAGAAAAAGAGGAAAGTTGAACTGTGCGAAGAAGTTCAACTAAAAAGAACAAGCCTGATTCTATCAATGTAAGATTAACTTAATCTCTATTAGAATTCTCTATTAATTAGAATTCTATTAATCTTAGAAAAGATAAACAGTAAGTTTAACTTACTGTTAATAAATAATTCTTAGAATTAAAGAGAATCCCCCAATATAAGCTTTTTCTAATTCTTAAAATTAAATTTTGATTATTATTTCGTCTTTGTTTAACATTATCAAATAATAAGGATGTTCATTTGTGATAGCTGTGCCTTTAATTTCTAGAAAGCACTCATACTCTCCCCTATATCTATACGTAAAAATGATGAATTTAATTAGGATATCTTTTACCTTCTCCAAAAATTTTATCTCTTGCTGAATCTTCCGTATCAGTTTATCAATCCCGTCGATCTTGTCCATAAGTTTCAACCTCTCGACCATGCTGTGGCCACTGGCGATTTTCTCCTCGAGACACTGAAGCAACTCGTCATCTATTTCGTCTTCCATCGTCGTGATGAACTGATGAACTCGTGAACGGTTAACCGTACCATCAAAATCAACAAAATCGAACCTGTTTCACGACGATCAGAGCGTCGGAGCACTCGGAATTCGAAGACCACGGAGTAGTTGGAAGTTGGAGTAGTCCATGGAGTAATCTCAATGAGTCTTTAGTTCAGTCTGATCGGTCCCGCGCGACATGCGTGACGTGATGCGTGCAGCCATCTTGCGCCGTGGGTCAATATCACGCGTTCGCATAATGTCGTCGGCTTGTGTCAAACTCGCCTGAATTAACCTCACCAAACTTTTTGCTTCGGACAAGCGACAGTCGATGTCGACGTGCGGGCCACAGTGTGTCCGGTGTGACATTACGTGCCGTTACGCGAGAAACGGTGACGAGCACGAAACGACGACGACGACGACAAGGAGGTCGACGACGAGGAGGAGGAGGTCGACGACGAGGAGGTCGACGAAACCGCGGCGCGGATTCGCGACATCCACGTGAGTCGTAGCGAGGATTAATCGTCGAGCTGTGCTCAGTAGAAACGAGTATCGTTTGAATAGAAATCTTCGCCGAGGCAGGAAAATGTCCAGCGCCAAACTCATAGAGAATCCAGAAGTGCCGGGTGAGTCATGCGTCATCCTCAAGACAATCCGCTTTTCTCCCCTTTCCTCTCGCCTCGACACCAATTCGACTCGTCCGCTTTGCAATAATGTGCATTTGTAAAATGACAACGCGGAGTTATTTGATGCCAAGGATAAAAGAAGGAAGTAATCCTGAGGTTTCCGGGGATGTTTTGTCGATTCTCGGAACGCTCCGTAGGTTTGAAAGATTATCTCAATTAGCGCACGATCTGTTGTAATCGGCATTATTTGAAGCTCCGAAAATCGTCGGATCGTGACTCGCCGGACGAGACAATTATCGTGTATGTGTGTATTACGTTGACGAGTAAATTGCGAGCACCGCACGTCGAAGAGTACATGGATCACGCAATGTACATGCGAGCGCTTAATGCTATGTTATAATAATATAACAGATCTAATCTACGACTCACTCGATTTTCCGTTTCGCCCGAACGAAGTATTTAAAACGTATTTACTACTGTTTTGTTGATTTTGTAAAAGTCGATTGACACTTCAGAGCATGTTTTTGTAAAAAAAATTGAAGATAATGTCAAATGCAAGTATATAAATATAGAAGGAGGTCACAATAGTTAATACTTGAAGTTAAAGTATAGAATTATGTCTGAAATTATGTAATTATTTTATTAATTGTAGAATATATCAATTCTGAATAAATAAAACATTTGATTCCCTCAAATTGAAATATTCCAAATATTCCAAATACGATTAACATTTTTTGCCTGTCATCATTAATTTGCATTGTATATGCTGATTATGTAATCAGCATAATTGTATAATATCTATTTCTACTACAGATTAAACTTTAATCTTGGTTGGTTTAATCTACTCTTTATATTTTTCTAGCTTTAAGAATAAGAAAAAGATTAATAAATTAAAAGCTGAGATTAAAGTTAATCTACATTGATAAAGAAATGAGTTTAAAGCAAATGTTACATTATGCACTGGAGATAAAAATTTTTAATTCACAATTCTTAATCTCTAATGCATAGTGTGATACGAATTTAAGTCTGTCTATATGGCCAGTATTTATACCCTGATAAAAATTTTTTCTCAGAATTTTTCATATAAGTTTGTAGAATTTTTACATAAATTTCAAAATTTTTCAAAATTTCTGAATGATTTATTTTTTTTTTAAATTGCTACAATTTTTCATACAAATTGGAAATCTTTCAAAGTGCTGAAAAACACTATAAGAATAAAAGAATGTAAGGAATAAAATTTTATAAAATTTAAAAAAGTTTAAGGTATGTTTTTAGAAATTATAGAATAAGAAATCTGAATATTTCACAATTCATATACATGAAAAATTCTAAGAAAAGAGACTTTCTTAATATTTCTGAAAAATGTTCAAAAATTTAGGAAAATTTTTGAATATTTTTCAGAAATAATTGATTTTTATATTAAAACCATTTAAGTACAATCTTAAGATATCATGAGCCAATCACAAAACCATATTAGCATCTCAATGTATTATTTATGATAAGAACTTATCTTGCAATGAAAACCGATTATGAATACTACGTGAGTAATACTGGAGACATGGAGTCGCTACGTATAACGAATGTTAAAATAAATTACGTCAGCACTGCGGCGCAAACGTGATAAGCTAAATATGTATCGCTGTCTGGGCGTGAGATGTATTATCGCATAATGTCGTAGGTCTTTGTATCAGCTAGCGCGCGAATTAACGCGACGCTTAATATAGCGTGTGCGTGCAATTAAACGCGATTCCTCTGTAAATTGTAAGAGCACAATAGACATCTCATTGTTAACGGCGCCGTCTGACTTATCTATACGTTTCTCGCTGAAAACGAATCATCAGTCCGTGATAATTATCACGATAAATCTCGTAAGCCACTGGCGCTGTGAAATTTTGACGAATTGATAAACTTTATGGTAAGAGTGATACACTGTTGTAAATCCGAACGCTAATAAACTTGTCCAACACCATTGACGAAAGTTAAAGAAGCTTCTTTTAATCTCCCTTTATTCGTCACTTCACAATACTTTACCGTTAAATTATAAAAATGGTACGAGTTGACAAAAATAAATATAGGTATGATTAATTCAAAGTACACAAATGTACACATACGTATCGCTGCATAATTATCTCACCATGCTGAAGATCCAAGAAGTTTTTTTCACTAGATGTAGAATAACAATGACATGATAAATTACCGCAATAAAACTGCGAGGTGTCGCATGATTTATAAGTTTTGACTTTTTTACAAATTCTTGTATGTCCTAAAATGAGAAAAATATGATACCACTATACCGGTCGAAGATCCTTTCCTTTCCTTTTCGTAAACACAAAGATGACTTAAAACCTTTGGTTTACCATCTTCTCTCGCAACAGGACTCGAAACCTATCTGCCACCACCTCCGCCGCCGCCGCCGCCGCCACCACCGCCTCCCCCGCCTCCGCCACCGCTGTCTTCTGCAAACAAATCCTCGAACAGCAATGCACAATCGACAACGACGCAACAGCAACGACCAGCAGTGAATGAGAACATGATGGCAGTCACCCCGGTGGCGATCGCGACTGATGGGACGTTCCCGAACTCTATGCCACCGAATCCGTACATGCTACATCCAACAATGCATCCACAAACTCCTGGACAACAGCCAACTCAGCCCCCCTGGTGGATACCGAGCGATAATGATACTTCAGAACTTTATACTCCTTGGTACGATCCGACTTACAAGGGTTCACCTGCTGCACCAGTAGCATCTCCCGCGGCGTCCGCAGTAGGAAAGAACAAGAACAAGAACTTTTACAAACGCAAAAACGAGTTTATAGATCCAGCACAGGACGCAGGTAATTAGAGAATTTTTTAAATTGAAATTAATGGAAAACAGATTATTAATATATAATTTCTGTGTATATATTTCTCAGAGAAAGTGGCGAGCGCGCAAAGGGAACTATCGACATTAATGAAACCACTCAAATGTGATCTGTGCAATGCAGTCGTAAGGCCCAGCTAATCATATTTGAATAATCAGAGAATTTTCTTCGTTTAAATTTAGTTTTATTTCGAGACTACTTCTGTGATTGTAGATTTCGTGTCGATAAAATTATTAACATTGTATATCGACGAAGCAATATCGTACCTTGCAGATGAACTCCACGTTACAAGCGAAACTACACTATGACGGCAAGCCGCATCAGAAAAAAGTATCGATGTTTCTCAATCAGAGCGTTAAAAAACAGAAAACGGAAGACGGCCAAGTGAGCAGTACGACCAATAACGACTGGCAAAACTACTGTGATGTAAGAGGCCTACAATGTTTCGTCTACAGTTATGTATTTACATACGTAAATCGTATATTAATGTACCTCGCATACAATCTACATTGCTAGATATGCAAAACATGGTTTACGTCGCAAACTGACGCCACGCAACACTACGCGGGCAAAAAGCACATTAGGGCGGCGAACGGCGGGCCTCGCGCGAGGTATGAAGCTACATTGAAACTCTGTAATAATATTTACTTAACAATCTGATAGCTTAATAATTTATTTATTTTAATTTATTTTTATTTATTTTTATTCAATAACTCGCGTAATAAAACGTAATGATTGAATTAAATTATTTTTACTCGTGATAATAAGACAGTTGCAATCTACAGGCCATCAAAGAAGCTGCCAACTCAGAACCAGTACAGTCAGGTGGATTCGACAGGTCGCTTTGGAATTGGAACGGCCTTTCAGACGGACGTGCAATCCGCCCCGGCTGCGACACCGATTGTATCTGACGGTATAGCCACTGTGCCGAATCCAGCTGCGATACCATCAATATACACGTCACCACCGTACCCTACGCCATTGCGCTGCGACTTATGCCAAGTTTCAGCCAATCGTCAGGATCAATTGGAGACACACAAACGGGGAGCCCGACATTTGAGAATGCTCAGGCTCAATGGACTCCCCATACCTGAACCCAGTAAGTCAATAAGATAAACGTCATATTTATGTACATATATTAGGTGTACAACTTTGCTTCCGCCGTTTTCCTATAGATGGCTTAGCAGTAAGTGGTGGTCGAAATAAATAGATCATAGACATCATACAATAAACTTGGGCATCTGTCAACATAACTCCATAGAAACATTAGTCGATTTGCGTCTGCATCATAAAGTTATTCTCGATTGAAAATGTCAGTTTACGAGCCAAATTCTCGTCATTTGCGGGAGGTTTTAATTTTTTGCTTCAATATGAAGAAATCTGCGGCTGAGGCTCATCGAATGCTCTCAAATATTTATGGTGAGGCCGCTATTAGTGAAAGAACGTGTCGTGAGTGGTTTCAACGCTTCAAGAACGGTGATTTGACGTCCAAGGTCATGCTCTGTATTTGGTGGGACCAGCTCGGCGTAGTGTATTATGAACTGTTAAAACCAACTGAAACAATCACAGGCGATCGGTATCGAACGCAATTGATGCGTTTGAGCCGAGCATTGAAAGACAAACGGCCGCAATACAACGAGAGACACGATAAAGTGATTTTGCAGCATAAC